AAAAAATTTGATTATAAGCTAATACTGCAGAGCACCCACTATGCCAGACATTGTTCTAAGCGCGTGATATACATTATCTATTTAGTCCTCATAAAAAGAGATGAGGAAATTGACAAAGAAAGGTTAGTGGCTTGTTCAAAAATTACACAGCTAGCAAGTGGCAGAAAATGGTATTATATCCATTTCCTTAGTTTCTACCATGCCTGCTTTCATGGGTATTCTTAATTAGAATTACTGGCCTTTTGAAACAAACATTTAAAAAGGAAATCATGAATCACTTAAATAATAAATTTTCTTATAAACAAGTACAATCTGAACACTATTTCAAGTGGGTTATTTTAAAAGCTTCTTAAATCCACTAAGGCATGCAATGCTTCTATTAATTTCAAGAAGGAAACGATTAGCAAAGAAAAAGTAGCAAAAAATTTTGAGAACATAGGACTCCTAACCAAGCAACGAGTAAACACACAACTCCAAAAACACGACTGACATCCACAGATTTACAAATTAATTTACATTAATGTTATACCAGAAAAGTCTCACTTTGATGTTTCAGCCATAACTCACGAGGAAAAAAATATTTATCAAAGGAAATGGCAATATGCTTTATTTACTTGCATAACAAACATTATTTGACAATTTCACTATGTCACAAAGTGGCCAAAATTTCCCAAATACTGAATTTTAGCATAAACATGTTTAACAATAGAAAGCAGGGTCCTCTTTATTTACCTTGTATTTTTTAATAAAGTTTTAATATTAGTTTTCAATCCGTAATACATTTATATGACTCAAATATAAAAACAAAAACGTATACAATAAGAGGTTTTGCTCCCGCTGCGATCGAATTTACGATCAAATTTACCGTTTCCTCTTACCTCTAAAAGTGACTATTTTTATTCATTGTTTCTCCTTCTAGTGTTTGTTTTTGAAAATACAAACACATATAAAAATTCTTATATCCTCCTTCTCCTACACCAAAAGAAATATACTATATACTGTCCTGCACCTTACAAATTGGTATCCTACTAAAGAATAAATATATTACAAACTTCATTTCAAAACACATTTGAGTGTTAAGCGTAACTGCAAATAAAAATCAAATTACAGTAACAATTCAGAATATAGGTTCACATTTCATGAAATAATAAATGAAAAACAACAATTTAAAAAAAAGGAGGGGGGGCAGGGAAGCAGGCCATACACTCTAAAAACTGCTGAAGAACTCCTGAAACTGAAAGATATTGGCTTAAAACCATACTCACCTAATTCTCAACGTAAGTAGGCGAAGAGATTAGGCTAAAATTATCATACCACCCTGGAGAACTCTATCTACTTATATACTATCCACTTATACATATCGACCTTAATATTCTGCACTCTCTGCCTCCCCCTACCCTTTAAATTAAACTTCTGCCAAGTTGTTCTCCCTATGTCCTCCAAGGATTCTTGTTACATTTATGCCCCACATCCCTCCACAGTTTACCTTCTTCTTAATGGTTCAAAGGGAAGATAGAAACAAAGAAAAGACTCTTGAAGGTTAAAAAAGGACAAAAACCACTATTGCTCCTTCCAGTTTCAGAAACACTACTGTCAAAAGAAAGGAAGGAAGGAAATCAGTGAATAGTGGGGGGAAAAATTCGTATAAGTAGATACAGCTATAGTAAAAGTGTTTCTAATAACTGTACAAACAACTAAATCACTTACTTGGCTAACACTTTGGTGTGAGTATTGATGACATTCAAGGCTTCCTTGAAACTTCCATTCTGGATAAGGCATACGACTTTACAGTGCAGGGCTGTTACATCATCCTTGTTGATCTGCAGAACTAGAGATCAGTTTTAGGAAAGCCATTTTTACACCCATTCACCTTTCACATTTTTACTAATTTTCCCACTCCCTGTCTCAGGAAGCCAACATTTCCAACATTATTGCAGTAGATATGATTAGGAGAAACACTAAAAAAAAATGACCAATCTTCATTTTTAACTTAATACATTACAATGAGGGAGTTATAACTTAAAAAATTAGATTTTTAATGAGATACAATAAAGATTACCAAGATACATGCACCCTCTCTTCCTCCCTAAATGCAGTGAAAACAGAGAGCCAGAAAGAAGGCATTAATCCAGGTTTTTCATCTTGGGAAGCACGGTACATATTTCATTATTTCACATGGAAGGAGAAAAAGGTTCATGTAGAATTTGGAATCAAATGACTGAGATTTAATGCATGCTTTTTACTAATGCTTTGAAGGTCTTGGGCAGTCCTTTAACTGTCAAATCTCCGTTTTCTGATCTGTAAAATGAGTATGAGAACATTACATATTTCAGAACA